AAAATAAGGTATGAAAATACAATTATAGTACATGTTATTTTATCTTCACATTTATATACATACTTAAATTTAATTCTGCTTACAGTATTGCTCACAATGAGGAGTTTGTACCCATGGAAACCTACATTCTGCTTCTTACAATTCAAAAAGTATTATGTGGACCTGCCAATAGCACCCTCTATCAAAACTATGTGGTTTGAATTGTACTGTCTACAAACAAAGAATGAATGATAAATAATAAGGTAGTTATAAATATGTGTGAGGTACATATGGTTCACAAACTTTGACCTTCGCATTCAACCTAGTACATGTTCTTTTTCATATACAACCTATGATTATTAATCTGTGTACTACTGAATTAAGTAAAACCAATCTACAGATGAAAGCATTGATTGATGTTATTAATATTAGTGTTTATGTGTCAATAAACCATATAGCCACAAGACTTGTTTTGGACCGAAATAGCATTTTATTCTCTCATTTCCCCTCATATTGTGGTTTGAGAGATCTGGAGAACAGTGGTTATGACAATGGGAGAGAAAAGAATACAAGGGCCAAATATTTATAAGCTATTTGACGCTGCAATCAATTGTTACTTCTGCTTTTGACTTTGCATTTCCTGCCTATGGCACAATAATGTAAATTTGATATGACACTGCAAAGAGTTTTGTACAGCCGTGTGAATGATAATTACAGATCACTGAAGTGCATGATGACAGTCTAAAATCAACTACATATTTGTCATGCAATAATAAAATTCCTATTCTTTATTGAACTCTGCAGTGTATACACCATCCACATATGACTCACAAACATCACCCATCTCCTTGGTAACTGCATCAAACAGATCATCTACAATCTCATCTGCAAGTCTGAAAAATGATGAGAAATTGTCTTTAAAAGTAGGTTGAATAATTAATCAGGTAAACATATGCAATCAAACTAAAATGATACATAACCAGTTCTGTTGCATTTGAAACAAGTCAAAAAGGAATGAGTTATGTATGACTGCGAAATGGTATCAGACAAGACACAAAGCTGACTGGAAAGTCAATGTTGTAATACACAGGGACTGTGTTGCATTATTCCAATTTATATGGTGACATTTAACAATACAGTAGATTTCGTTTAGATTAAGCACCAAAACTGAGAAAGATATAAAGCGATCTATATACCATAGTAATCCAAATATATAACATCCAAATGTTTACTTACTCAGATACAAGTTTCCATGGATCAAAACTGCCATATGATTGAGTTGATGTCCTCTTCAAATGATCATCAAATTTCTCTCGATAGTCATTGATTCGCTGCATTGATTCACTTGGTAAAAACAACGGAATCAAGTTTTTTTTTTGCTCAGTATTGTCATCTTTCACCTGCCTTTTATCTTTGCTTTGAGCATGCTTTGACAATTCTGGCTGAAGTCGACTGAAGTGTAATGATGTATACATTGGCACCTCATCGTCAGTACATCTGAAACGAAAAGTTAATAGCAATTTTGTTATTTCTCTGACACCGATTGTCATGCAAAATAACAATAGTAGCAAGTTTAAGATAGAAACAAGAGTCAATTTTATGTTTTTCATAAATACACAAGGTTTAGCATAATTTTCGACAATTAACTCAAGTTTTGCAGGAAGCAGTATTTGTTTTTCGTTTTCTTGTTATGCCTGACTTCACAAGAAAGGCTGGCTGACAGTTAGTACCTCCCAATTTTCACGACAGGTCATTGTCATTTGGTTTTCCTGATTCATACTTGGCTATTGTATTGTTCATGTTTGAATTCTATGGTTAATGAGTTAGAAGTCCATTCTGAAAGTGAGCTTTGCACTTTGTATCCACCCTACATGTGTTTTTTAAAATTCGTACAACGGGAGGTTGGTGTCTAGACGAACTCTCTCGTTCATCCGACATCTGAGACATAAAAGAGTTGCTCAACTTTAAGAGAATAACACAACTACATCATTATACCTCTCTAGTCTGTCTCCATCGACTGGTTTAATATTCAAACCGTCATCTTCTTCATCAGTTGCCGTGGCAACATAATCTGCTCTTTTAGATGACATATGTATAGGTTCCGGCTGAGAGTACACAAGTGTGCTCGATGGCACATTTTGTCTGTCAGTGGTTGTCAATGAATGACGCTTTTCTGGATCTACATATTGAACTTGGTTCCATCGTTGTCTTATTCTGTCCTCTTCCGTCTAAAAATAAAAAAAATGAATGAAAATATAGAATCCATTTTGCATACCATAACACACTCAGGTGATCTTCAAGAAGAAATCTACAGACAGAAGGATGCATATGAACGAACAAAGAACAACAGATTCAGTGGAGCTGAAAAGTAATGTATGTAGACATAATTTGCAATTAGCACTCACCTCCATCCTTTCCAGTCTCTGTAGAAGATTCTCTACTGTTGGCGCTTCCTGTATCGCGATAGCTCTCTGTTCCATTTCATTGTCATTCTCTATTTTCTGAAATTCCTTTGCAGTATCTAAGAGTATATCCTCAAGTAACATTTCACTCAGCAGTTCTGCGTTAGCAGCAGCCTTCAAAAATAAAACAATAATTAATTGTAATTAAGACAGTCACATAATTATCAAACTATAGCAATGGATACAGTTTCTGAAAGCTGATGCATAGGAGGATATTACAGAACATATTTGTATATTTCTTTGCTGAAGAGATTGAAAGCCTTCGCAAAGCTTCAAAATCAAAAATTTGGCTCCAATTTATGATTGTATACGTCTGAACACTTTGATGGTCTACGATTTATACTGTAATTGAGTGCTTGAATAAAATGTCTGAGACATTACACCTTGAATGCACAACTGATGAGTGTCAACTTATAGTGAACTGTCTGTTTGATTTGTATAGCAATTCTTGATGACATATTTCCATCTGAGTGAGATGATAATACATATTTAAAGTTCAAAGTCCTTCAATGATTTCCGTTACATAATTCCAAGTAGAAGGCTAAACACATGATAACACTTACTGCTTGTGAAGCCCTCTCTGATAAATTATATCTCAATGATTGTTGAGTAGTACGTTGTAATTCTCGATACTTGTCCGCTATTTCCTGCAATAAAAGAGTGAGTAGATTATAGCCTTTCAACCTGTCTATCTGATTATATGACTCAGTTGCAAACACAAGTTGAAATTTTTTAATGAATTGTCAGGCTTACACCAGAAACTCATTATTAGTCATAATAAGGCTATTGAGATCCTGTGAGATTCAGTTGAGGAAATGAGATCCACACAACTTTCTTCATCATATATTGCTCCATAATGATGGACGCAATGACAGGACATAATGGGAAACTATCTGAGGGATTAACAAGAACAAATCACAAAACCTTTGTATTTAAGTCTATGAATAAAAATTGAAAGATGATTTTTCTCAGTACAAATATTTGTTTTCCATAATAAAATATAATGTATTATTTATTGACTGTTATTTCCATACTTGATTTTGTATTTTACAGAAAATATACATCAGCTGGAATACCAAAGGCAACTTTTTGTCACACATCCCCAAATTTAAACTGAATAACATGATGTATACATCTCCTATTGAATAACTGTTGTGCTTGAAATGTAACTGAACTGAAAGCATGCATGCACGATGCAAACAGGTTTATTTGTTCAAGTCAATCATTCACCACACCACCCCCAATCCCCCAGGAAGCCTTATTTTTCAAATCCATATTAACTAATAAAAGTTACTACAACATAGACAGAAAAACATTGTATGCTCACATCCGCTTGGTCTAATATAGGCTGTAATTTATTTTTGAGCGTTTCCTCGGCATCAGTCAGTGCTTCTTTGTTTTTGTAAGTGTGTTTAACCTGCAAGCAAAACCATAATATACAATAGTCAAAACCTTTAATACATAATTAAACAAAAACAAGAGTTTTTCTAACATGTATTCTTGGATTAGCAGTTTAACAAAGGATGTAAACCATGCTTTTAACAGTAGATACTACTGATGTACTGTAATGCCTACAGGGAGTTACTACTGGTAGATATTCAAATACTTTAACCTTTCCATTACAGACTTTCTTGGCCAAATTTTTCTGCACTTTTCTCTTATATTTTTCAATATTTCTGGAGCCAACAAACATACTTTGAGTCAATTTTTGGTTTTTACTCAAAAAATTTGTCCCAATCTTCTGAAGGAAAGTGCAGAATATAAACAGGACTATTTTACGAATTTGTGAAAAAAAGATGGAACTGGCGGTGAAAAGGTTGAAGTACTATAGTCACCGCACATTGTCATGTTTCATACGAGTTCCATAACAATGTGTACATACATGAAATATGAACATGTGACAACTGTACTTCCTTACCGAGTGACCATCGACTTTACACACAATCAATTTGGGGTGTTTAAGTCATGTGACAAAGCTAGTACACAGGATTGGCCAAATAAACATCTGGACAGTGGGTGGTCTAGATGAAACGCAACAAAACATGGCAAAGTATAGCCAATGTCCACAATTTACTTACGGGAGACATTCCAATACTTGGATCCATGCACAAACGTCTTGGGCTTCTAATACCGGAGCCAAGATCCCCTAAGAGACTCAATTCACCCACAGGTCTGACACCTTTGGCTTTGCTGCTAGGACTACCAGGTGGGGACCATATTGGTCTTGGGTCAGGCACCTCTGTATACGGTTCCCTATGCACTGTCTTCACTTTCATTTTGGAAGCCACAGTGGCTTCTGTGAAGTGTGGATGGTCAATATCAGGGATGGTTGGTTTGATGGTTTTCTTAAACTGTGATTGTGAAATGAAAATATACTTAATGTTACAAAAGCATACAACCAAATGTGTGATACATTCATTAAATGATGAAGATAAAAATTCCATTATTAAAAGGGAACAATGAAACTGCATCCCAGAGCTGGAGATGCAATGCAATGCACATTACTTCGCATCGCATCGCTTCGCATCACATCAAATCACATCACATCATATTCGATCCTAATGTATTTTAATCCAATCATCTATTTTGCAGGACCCACATGTTTAATAAATTTACTCGATATTATTAGTTGCTTGCAATCATATAAGCTGTTATAACAATATAAATAAATAGGCAATGACTATTAAGCTACTGAACCAGTTCCAATCCAGCAAATGAATATGTAAATCATATGCAAATTATGCACATTTTCGTTGGTGGAAAGCCTTGAACTTACCCTAAGGTTTTGTGGTAATAATACACTGGTTTTGTCTGTAGATGGTTTGAACACTGTTGGATGTGAACTCTGCACTGGTTTATGTTTAGTTGCTGCATATTTGGCCTGAGACTTTCTTGGTTTTGGTGGCTCCCTTCTTCCTGACTCATCAGCTGCTCTCAACAAAGCTGCTATGCCAGCTCTGATAGCGGCATCACGTTCTGGCGTGTCATGAGATTCCGCTGCAATGAAAAAAAAAAATATAAATATTCTTACAATACTCAAAAACTATTAACTATTTTTATTTAGATGGGGACTTCTTGCCTATTATTGCACAGATCCCTGTCTTTATCCACGTATTTAAACAATAATGAATCCACAACAGCATCATATTGGACGAGAAGAAGAGTTTAAATAAGATAATTATTGCATCTCCAAATGTGGTGGGAGATTTATTATTATTATAAATCACCACCATGAGAATTAAACAAATAAATAAATAGAGATTTACATTATCCAGCACCGCGAATTAAAAGTATATCATAAATACTCTAATATAGGTGTCAGGGAGGAGTGAAAGGGCTTATTTTGGTTCTAAAATAGCTGTTGATAATGAAAAGTAAAGTCTAGAAAAAGTTCCAAATAAAATGCATTACTTAGTAGCAAATGATCATGATAGCATAACCCGGTCATGCTGCTTGTTTTTTGAAGTGTTGCAAATGTTGTAACATACAAAAAATCAATTCCCTGGATTGTTATGAGATTTGAGTAAAACTCAATTTCATCGTAAGCCAATGTTTTCAGTCAAAAGCAATACAATATTCGCAATGTTTTTCCCCATATGCAGTCAAGCTAATGATTAACCAATCGGAATGCTGATAGTGCCAATGTGTTTGAATCACCATAGCTCATTTAAATATATTAATGATGGTTCAGTGATCTCACTGAATGGTGAATGCAACATGGAAGAAATCTACCAATGTTGTAGTATAATCTTTTGGCACTGATTTTGGTGGGAAAACAGCATATTTTTTTTAAGTAAAAAAATTAGTAGTTTTTAAAAAATAAACTAAGCATTGAAAAATACATTTAACGATGATACAATGTAACAGCTCATTGTTGAAACATTACCCAGTCATGCTAGTCACAATAATCATTGTACTCTTGAATAGGCATAAGTGACTATGATAAATCTAAATTGGACTCTAATTTAGGGGTCAGATTGAAATATGTCGGCTAAAAGATTATTTAGGGTAATATAATAATTAGTTTTTTTAAATGAACTGGGAGTATGAATTAATAGAGACAGTGAAATAATAGTGTTTTTATGGTAGGTCTTATTTTGTGAAAGGCCAGGGGACGAAGTTGACTTTGACATTCAATGGTTTATTGACCCATGTCTTGTGATAGGAATGCAAAGATAAATCCCTATGGAATGTGTGTGTGTGCAATGCTGAGTTGCTTTTACAATGTAATTAGAATACATGATCTCTTACATGTATCTGTACAATGTAGATGCAGTACATGTATTTTGTACTACATTCTGTTTACAGTAATGTTATTCATCTTACCTCTTTGCCTGGCGACATCTTGTCGTAGTCTGTCTACTGTTTTTATCCCCGGCCTTTGGTACAAGGTTTCTTGAACTAAAGGAGTTGACTTGATTTGTTTGGTTTTCTCTGAAAAAAAATAGAACACAAGGATTGGAATTGGATTTTATGTTTACAGTTAAGTAAATATTTGTCAACTTGAACAAAATATACCAGAATAGTGTTGGTGGTGGCTAAACTTGATTTTGGTGATTTTTTTTACATCTAAACTCAGAATTGGATCGTGAAACATACATATGTCAATCAATCATAAATATTTACAAAAGGCCCTGATATAAAAATTAGGTTCTGTCGAAAGGCGCTGAGAGAGTTTTTCCACACTGTAAGATTTGTTGAATAAATATGTTTCCATATGTGTTATGTGAGCCATATTATTGAGGCATGTCAGATATAGATTTTGACAAACACAAATATTTTAACATAACTCACAAACTCAGAGCAATATTTTCCCTTAATTACAATTCTAATTCTGAAAGACATGACAAGACTCACTTTTATTTTTCTTCTTCTTCTGCTTCACCCTTTCTCTCAGCCAGTCATTTCTCCCTTCCCATAGTTCCCTCTCAGGATGGCTATTAAACTGACTGTCATGGAAGTCACCCAGTAGTTGCCTTCTAGAGCCGTGTTTGCTGCTCATAAAATCACTGTCTGATATGAACGATGGGGAACGCAGCTGGTGACTGAATAACTCATGTTCGTTCTGTTTCATTTAAAAAGACAGAATATACAAATATGACATCAATCTTGGATCAACCTCTTTTAGCGTGTTCAACTCCAAGGAAGATTTTAACTTGTTGGAAAGAGTTCCTCATGCACCCCCATCGCTAGCTCGAACCTTACCCCAACCCTCCAGCACTCCTCCCAATTTAATTGTATACGCTCCTCCTAAGGACACCTACAGTTTTCTAGACATTTACAATTGAACTGGGGGCAGGGGTGATCATTAGAGTTAGGGTTAGGGGTGGGATTGCAAAAAGAACTCTTTTCCTTGGGTCTACTGATTCAGAAAACCATATAGCATTCACTATGCTATCGGTGATCGACTGACAATAGCCAGTAATGGCAGTGAAGAGGTCAAAATCAAATCAACTGATCACTTACTTTTGGAACCTTCAATATCATATCCGGAACACCTGATTCACCAATCTCCAGCTGGGCGCATACCATGGATAGTTGCTTGATGAGTGCAGACAGTTCATTGTACACCTTTGGTAATCCACTTTTACTATCGGGATGTGATGGCATATGGTGAATGAAGGTTTGCAATGCTCTTACTGCCCCGCGATGTGCTGCTGCTAGCCTCGTCAATGTACGACTCTAAAAAGGTACAAGAACAATGAGCAACCATTAGAAGCTAGGTAATTCCACAGCATGCAAAGGATTCTGGGTAATTCCACATCATGCAAAAAAGCAAGTTTGACATCATGCATTTAAGAAATAAAAAAAAAATACCTTTTGTGAATGACTGACACTATCTGGTCCAGTTTGTATTAATTCATCTTGTATTTCACGAACCTAGAAAGATAAAACACAAATTGTAAACGTATTTATATCTTTTGTTAAAACAAAGATCAGATGAAAATAACGTAGTATCAAACCACGACTAATAAATTCAAGGCATGTATAAGGTGAGTTTCTGTATGAGGCATTTTTCTTTCATCTGCCTACTAACCTGATCACACAATGGTTGTGGAAGGTTTTTAAATCTGGAAATTTAATTTCAGGGAGATTCAAGTTGACATAAATCATTGTATATTCAGTGTTTGCAATGCATTAGAATCACAGCATTATTACTATGTTTGATATACATGTAATACAATTAAACAGTTTTGAGAAAGAAAATTAACAGGCGTCAAGATGATATGATATTCTATGAATGTATTAGATGAAATTTATTTTTACATTCAGCGATGCTAGAGATCCAGTTCTGGAATGGATGAATGCGTGATTTTTGAGCAGTTTTGTATCCAATTTAAATTGCTTATTATGCATGCACAACTGGAGATGAGAAGTGAAGGGGGGGGGGGGTCATATAAAATAACTTACTTGTTGTTGAAGAGCATACAGTAATCTAGCGTTCCTACTCGCCTGCTCCGACTGCCGAGATAGCTTTCTGGCAGCCATTTCACCATCACTCGTTACATCAGGTTTTACTGGGAGTATTTTGTCTTCATCAACTGTGTCATCTATGAAAAATAAAATTATACACAGGTAAACATATATAACTTAAAAAACTTTGCTTACATGTCATGTGTTGATGTTTTGCAAAGGTTTTTGTCATCAACAATTTGTTGAGAACAAAAATATAGTACAACTGATCTATCTAGCAGAATGTGAACTAAACAGGCACTTTCCAACTAAGCAATGATAATTTTTCTGATATTTAAAAAAAAATATATCATAATAATACCTTTTGTTGACAGCTGATCAATCTTCTGAATATAGTACCTCAACTCTTTCCTCAGCCGTCGTATCTCCTTTGCTTGTTTTGTCGCTGGGCTATCAGTGTCTCTTTCTGGATATGCTGCACCATCTATTCTACTGGATTGGTATGGACGTTGCATATGAACTTGTACAGTGTTCTCCTTTGCAGAGTCTTTGACCTTGGTGGACCGTAGATGTCGGTCTTTGAGCTTTGGTCTTGAAGTCTGTGTTTCAGATGACTTCACATCACTTCCACGAAACCTCTCCTCAAGCTTTACATGAGAGCTTTTTGTTTTTTCTTTTGCTTTTTTCTGTTTGAGTTTTTGTTTATATTCCTTGCTGTATGTGACCTTTGTCTTCTTAGGGGATTCCATCTCGTGATATTGCGCAATGTTGAATCCCTGTCCTAGTAGTTTTCTTTTGATATCCCTTTTAACCAGCCTCATTGCAAGCGACATTTTATCCTCGGAGATGACAGAAAATTTCAAAGGGGAAAAACGTGGTCTATGATCTCTAGTCCTGTGTGGCGAGCCCAACTTTTCAATGACAATTGGTCCTGGTTTGAGACTCCTCGTTGTCAGGTTTGTCGGGTCCGCGGGAGCATCAAGATTGAACTGTAACTGATTTTGGTGATAATGTGCATGTTTTGGAATGACATCATTTGGAACCGCAAAAAGTGATTTTTGAATTATACCTTGCTGATATGGTTTATACGTCTGATCACTAGGAACAGTGAAATCTAGCTGGTTTCTTTGCATGACTTTGCCTGCCATGGTTGTGTTACGACACTGTGGAAGACAGAAAAAAAAGCTCATTAAACATTGTGCATCACTTTAATACTTCATCACTGCATACATATATTTGGTATGTGACCGCACCCAACAGCTGCCACCGTGAATACAGTTTCCATGCCAACAACTAATACTAATGATGACATTGTCAGTTGAGAATAATCCATACAGTTTTCACATCACCATTTTCTGGTTAACCTTAAAACATTTTTTGAAAGTTCAGTGTGGGAATAAAATTGAACTACTGTGAATCATTTTCACTGCTAAATATTATAGCCATTTGAGAATGTTTATGAAGACATTCACTGCTACAAGATCTTCACTGACTCTCAAAATTCACAAAAATTTGACTCATGTCAAATTAAAGTTGTCTTACAGTATTACATTCATATTTCCAGTTAAATACATGTAATTTACATTTATTATAAACTTTCAAGAAATTGATCAAGCTTGATGAAGAAATGCTTATGCACAAGACTGTACAAAAATCAACGTGAAACTAAATTGATCAAGCAGTGGAGATACCTTCACATATTCTCATCCTTGATATTGAATAGTTGTTGTCATGGAAATGATATTCACAGTAACAGCTGTTGGGTGCAGCCACATACCAAATACTGTAAAATACTTTATTTTCACTTGGAATTTATTTTCGCTGAAAGGATGATTCAGTGAAAATAAAATCCAGCAAATATACATTTTTTCCTATATTTTACATTCAATTCATCAAGAATTACTGAAAATAAACTCCATACAAATAATTCAAAAAATCTTTTCAGTGAAAATTATTTCTAGGTAAAATAAAGTATTTCACAGTATATGCATGCTGCAATGAAGTATGAGTGATTGCACCATAGACATACACAGTTTTTAGTTAAATGGTAGCCATACATGTATATGAGAAAAATGTCTGACCATATGCAAATTGATATTTAGAATATTGCACAAGAGCTCGTCTTCAAAGATGCCAGATTAGAAAGTTTTCTATGGTAATATGACATCAGTATACAATTCAGGAACGGTAGCTGGACTACTTGACAGTTCCACATACATGTAGTAACAATTTTAAAATATAGCCAATCACGATTTGTTTGGAACATATACAATATAAACAATACTTATTTTACATCTGTTGTTGTAAACTCATAAATTATAACTGTAATTTTGTTATCATGCACAGGGTATCTGCATCCTACAATATTAAGAATTGCAACATTCCAAATATGGAACAAGTATGCAGTATTCCTATACAGTATGTAAGATGGCGTACACTTTTAAGAACAAAGTTTATAGCAAAAAAAGATATTTTTAATCATTTTGATCAATTCTGGGCTTCCTGTACCAAGCGATTGTTTTGGTAAGATTTACAAATGTATGATAAGGTTATTACGAGAATATCGGAAAGTATGCGATCAGACAGTACACAGTTGCACCGACCTCCTCCGGTATGCGCCTGTCGATACTTTTCCTGTCTTTATGCATATACCGGTAAACCTCATAATATACATTTGTATAAAAGGAACTGTTCAATTTCTATAAAATACTAGTACACCTGAATATCCAAATAAGAATACGATTAAGCAATAAACGATTATCATCATTATAATAAAACATTGGAATACTAAAATATTGTCTGACCTTAACTATCATAGCAGATAGAATATCACGGGTTCACAATACATAGTATGCGGCAGGCAGTCGATCCGCCAGTATGTCGAAAATAACAATAAATACTGACTGTACTGTCTCATTCTTCCGAAGAGTTCAAATTTTAAATAACTGAAGAACAATCTACGTTTGGGTCAATATGTTGTAACAATAACACTTCCGGTCAACGAAATTGTATAATCACGTAAACATTATACGAGACAGTATAATATACTCATTTAAAAGCTAAAATTTCGAAAATCGATTCGAATACCCAGGAAGAAACATGCACGGGCTTGTCATTTTTGTCAACAAACCAAATTGGGGTTGGTCAACCTTACAAACACGCGTGGTTCTGCATGTTTTCTGACAATTTTAGCAATCTTTACACAGACAAATTCACTGTATAATACACATATTGCTTACCTGACTGATCAGATCACGAAACAAGAAAGAAGAGCGGAGATCACGAAGAAAACGTAAGAAAACACAAATTACGACCTTTCAAACCGTCCGCCATGTTGGATATTTGGTCACGTGGCCCAATTTATCGCGAGATGTTGCGAGAAATGCAGTTGCAGACGACGGACATTTGATATGCCACCTGCTGATTTGTCAAGTTGTTGGATGTTAATCCATCAGAAACAAAAGTTTGTAATCGACAGGGAATTAATAAAACTAACCTGGATGAACTGAAACTTATAATCGTTTGTTAGCGAAAGGTTCAAGAACAAATAGAATTTAGAAAGAGCAGACTTGAAAATATTCTTGACAAAAACGAGTTTCCGTTTTTCCGTTTTCCATTTTGCGCTTGGTGCATGATTTATGTTAATATAAATATGTTTTCCCCTTAGTGTATTACTCTCAGCGCAACAAAGGCGTTCCCTTCATCTTTACAGTTATAATCTGTACATAAGCTAATCAATCAACAAGCGCAATGCGCAACGACGTCATTTCAAAACGTTTCAATATTAATTGCGGTAGGTTTATTTTCACTGGCTTGAACTGTCTAATTTCAATCTGTTCTCGAGCAATAAAATAAGGGGGATGTACAGGGCCAGAAAAACATATTTTTTTATTTTCTGCTTTTCTAGCTCGTGACAATACACATATTAAGTGTTAAAGCTGTGGAGTAATACAATCTATTCACAGACGATTCTCACGTATCACAACAGTACCATTGCATCTTTTTGAGGCTTACAGCTCACTGGATCAAACTTGAATTTTCAAGGTATGTCCCAGGATACAAACTTGACATGGCTGTTTTCATAGTTTTCTAAGCCTCAGAATAATTATCAATTAATTAACTGCCAGTGATGCTACTATTGATAACAATAGACAAGAAGTTTGGGACAAATGGCTGTTTTGTCTGTGTTTATTTTGAGCGAAAATACGGAAAAGATTTCGAGGAAAACAATAATATTCCGGACCCATAGGATACTGAGAGACAACAAACATTTTCATAAAATTTGTAATTAGAACTAACCCAAAATATGTAACATTCATAAATTAAAATACTATCTTCACTGTGAAATATAAGTTTGAAAATAAGCCACCTCGAACCCGGGATCTAACTTCAAATATACGTGTTTTTTTTGTATAAATGCAGGTTTTCAAAATGACCAGACCTTGCACGGATACATAATTTTTTACTATATCCAGTTGGTATTACTTTTATTATTAAAAAGTTGAGTTTTAAAAACCAACAAAATGTTTTTCTCGCAAAGGTGAGGGGATAATTTTAAATTATAAATCAGTGGGAATGGGTCATTTTTTATTTTACAGATCACAGAACAACAACTCAAAACTTCGCCCAAATTATGACGAGAAACAACATTGTGATAAATTTGTGACGTCCTGTTTGACGGGTCGAAAGCCGATAAACCACCCAAAGGCCAATCTGATTAAACAATTGTTTTTAATTTGTATATTTCTTATTTTTGTTTACTTATAAATATTTTACGTGCCGTATCTCGATCGCCTTGACTACCGATATATTAAAAAATTTAATAACGCAAGTAAAACAAAAAAATATTTATAAATGAACAAAAATAAAAAAATATAAAAACAATGTCGAGATATGGAAAGTTATCGTCACCATGGGAATCATTAAAGGGTGGTGGTTGTCGCACTGCGCATGTGTGCCATTTGTGTTGATAAACATTGATTTTCTCACTATCCGATTCGCTCTGGAAATCACAAGTATTAGTTTTGACCTGTGCGCGGCTTGCACCAATTACCGCCGGTGACTCCTTCGATACCTTCCAACCACTTAAAAATACCTGATTAATATGTCTATAAAGCTTGGTAACATCTCACTTGTTGATCTATGCAGTCCCTCTATCACGACTCTATATTGTCACGTGACTGTGCGACGCCAACAACCGCTATACACACATTCACTGGATGTTTATTGCTAATCCCCCCTAAGACAATGGGCGTTTCGAGACCGGTGATCAAGGGACTGTGATCTGCGCAACCTCAAAGTCGTCACTTTGTTTATATGAGACCCCAATCTGATTCAAATCAGATACTAGTTTTGGCTTTTTTTTTGGTATATTTATTTTATTTTGATCTAGTATTTATTTTTTGAAGTTTTGGTAATTGCGAAAGCCAACAAGGGCAGAATTGAAAAACAAAAAAACAAAATCGAAATCAAAATAAAATAATAAAATAAAAAGGCATTAATAACAAAAGTAATAAAAAATAAAATAACAATAAGTTTATAGCCAAAATAATTAAAGCCCATACACTACATCAGATTTAATCAGATTGATGAGACCCATATCCCGGGCATGCGTGGCGCGACGACCCACGCCTTTAAGTATACAAGTTGCATAACTTACACAATGGCAACAATGGACTTTTTTTGAAGTTCTGAAACCAACCATGGAGGTTTCTACCTCCATGAACCAACCAACAAAGTAAAGTTCGGTGACCCCTATGTCACCACACAAAACATAGGCAATCAAGAACAAGTTGTGTATCTAACCACAGTAGAGGGACTGTGATCTAACAAAATGGCATTGAGGCATGTATTTATAGGTGACATTTTCTTGACAAATCGCTTATATTACGGTTACTAGTAACCGTGCTTATATGACGCCAAAAAAAAGCAATATCGCTCAAAGGGAAACCCTTTGGTTGTTCGATATTTAGAATGTAGTATATCTTCTCAAAAACATTGTTTTTATTGAACAAAGACCACAAACTAACCCAATATTTGCGAACAACCTTCGTGTCAGCTGTTGTCACTCAAGCGCTTCCGCCATTATAAACTATGATCTGGCGGGGCTATTTGGTAAATTATTGCTTTTCTTCACTTTGATTTATAGTTAGGTTTGACGTTGCTGCTGGAACATTTTTTGGTTTTGAATTTTTTCTGGGAATTTACTTATTTTTTTCAAAATGTACGAGAGCTTCTAATGGTCAACTCTGTATTTAAAACGTAAATGCCGGCGAACGATCTTAATTCGTCGAACGAATACGTCTACGTCTGTTGCCATAACAACGTTTTCTTTGTTATTTCACGATAACCCGTAGCCTAGTGTTTAAACATGCTCAAAACTAGTTATCCACATCGCATATATTCATATGTACTTGAAAAATTCAACAAATTATATTTCCCATGACTTATATTGGCAGTGTTGACCTTCCGCTCTCTCGATTATATTCGTATTATTTGTACGTATAATCCGGACCCATCCGTAATGTTGTATATTACATGTATGTCCAAGCCAATAAAATGAACTTTCGTGAACTTTCACACAATAGACTTGTCTTACGAATCGCGCCCTCTAGTGACAAACCCTAAGGGGGAAAATGCATTTGTTACAAGATTTATTTGGCCAAGATAGGCGAGATATTTGTTGGAAAGGGGGAATCCCCAAAACAATGTAAAACTGTGCCTTTTGAAATTATTTCCGCGTCATAAAAAATAAATAGTAGCCGTCGGGATTTCCTTATAAAGTGAAAATAACCAGTGGCGGAATTTGTTTTTGTATATTATAAAAAAATCATGATCATTAACTTAGTCTGGCGATTTTAAAGTTTGGACCCCCCATAAAAAAAATCCTGTGTCCGCCCCTGATAACGAACCCAACCCTAGATGTTAGAACAAAACTCACATAAGAAAATTGCAAGTCAAAGAACATAAAACAAACGACTGACAACAATTGAAAAAAACAATCAACAAAAGTTGACCCCTGTATCATGATCCTATCATGTTGGTGGGAAAAATTATATAAATCAATTTGAAAGTTGAGGTATTATATAAACTATTAGTAATATTATTACATATATATATATTAAAAATCAACAATGTATGGAAAAGGGGCGACATTTTTTTTCGAGAATAATAGGTCCGGGGAATACATCACAGATTTACATTTATTTACATTATATTACAATTATTCATTTATCTCTTATTGTGAGATATGTATTTATTTCATTCATTTACAGTATTTTTAGTATTTCCTGTTTTTTTAGTATTTTCATTTTTTTATTATTATTACATGTATTTGACTTTATTGTATTTTATGTCAAGATCTCAAATGGGATACGATAGCAATAAAGATTTACTTACTTACTTACTTACTTACTTACTTACTTACTTACTTACTTACATGTAATATCTGCACTGAGCATTGGAAACCCGGTGAACAGATCAGGCGGACAATAAAACTAGAGTGAGTTAATGAAATTTACGAGGTAAGCTCTTACACATAAAAGTGATCATTTCTTTTGTCTTTTATCAAGGACACAGTAATGTTATAATTGATCTCGGAATCGACCTCTTTTAAATTTTACATCGATTCTGAGTTTGGACTGCCTTGGGGACTTGGGGTTGCTGACCTCCCAGGCTGACCGGGTGTTCGATTTCATTCGAAAAACATTGCAGTTTTGTTAAATCGGTTATACACATTTTTTAGAATTTTTTTTTCTTTTCTAAAGATGTGTAATGGGAAAAAACTGCTTCCCCAGGTGTGATTTCTCAATGCCAACATAGTGCAGCACTTTCCCAAGTTTATTGACGCCCTCATCGAGAGCGCGTTTGTGCTGGCGATATGCAAATCGCGTCACATGGCAACACCTTATTTGCATACACATACCATGTTAGCGGCATCATTGACAATACTGAGTTGACCCGAACTGATGGATTCACTGTGAAATACTCGCGAATATACGGGAGTGAAAAACAGTAGCAGTGGAAGGAATACATTTTAGCTATTATTAACCGGAGTGTGAACACCAAATATATGCGATTCAGCCGTATTTTTGACGTCTGTCTGCGATATTGAGTTTTTGTTGTGGATACACGAAATGAAGGCAGCCATCTTGAAGCTCGGTGAACAATCGGGGACGCTACATGGGAAGTATTGAAATTCAGTATAAAATCCCAATAGCCGCTCATTTTTTTAACACGAATCCCCAAGATTGCAAGAGTTTTGTAACTTCCCAATTGCGAGGCTCTACAAATCCAGTCGACGTGAAGTCATCTCGCGTGCGACGCATTGTTATGAATTGCTTATCTCATTATTAACATTAGTGAATTATTAGTTGCTATAAAAAAAACGCAATTTTGTTCTGAATTTTAAAGTTTTCATTTGTTTCGCAGGCGAAACATTTTTTTTCGGTGTCGATATCAAATGACGTATATAGCGTGGGAGTGACCAATAACACTCGCAGTTAGTATTTTATATTTATCAAGACATTGCTCTGAAACACAAATGTCATCGGCATCGGGATATTCGTTGCCACCGCTACATAACCTTCCGCACTGGTCGCGGATCACGACGTTGGACAAGGCGAGATATCCAAAACCTTTTATGAAAGATCGTCTACAAGTACTACCACACCCACAGAGTAGACGAGAGATGTCGTTAGAGGACGGTTTTGATATAGCAGACCTTGCAGACATGGACCCTGTGCAGAGAATACAGTACCTGGAAAAAAGCCTGGAATTTCTCAAACAGCAACACCAAGACGTTCTTAAAAGTCTTCATGAAGAAATTGATGGTCTTAAACGAGATAATAAAGGTATAATTTAATGTGGGTGGTTTTGGTGAGGGGTTATATGAGAACAAGATGATTTCCCTGCTTCAGACTTGATTATTTGCTTCCACAATCAGCTTCAGTATGGACTAACATCATTGAAAGAAAAAACAAGGTTATGAGTTGGGTAGATTGGATTAAATCTGTGTGTGTGAGGTTAGGGGTGAAAATGCTTGTTAAGATTGCTAAACATTGTAAGAATGAGAAATACCGTAAATCATTTTATTTTCACTGCTAGAAATGTTTACATTCAGAATTGTATGACATTCATTAGACAATATTTTGTGAAAGTCTCTGACACTCCATGTTAGCTTTCAGAGAGATTTTCACGACTATAAAATTGCTTGATTTTTACTAACGCACAAAATAATATACAGTACCGATACTTACATTAGGTATTAAATATACACATTTGTAATAATCAACATTTCCCATAATGAAAGTTTGACTAAAATTCATAAAATTTAAGTTTATTCAGATTTTGATTCGACTGGTTTAAAGCAGTACACATCAATTTGCTGTGCATTCTCTCATTTTTTTTTTACACAGGATTCAAATGTAACTATCATGTAATACTAGTTTCCGTGGCTACAGTAAAATCTTTATTAGAAGCCTCGATTGCTATTAAAATGGTAAATGTACAATGCAACAGAGATGATGTGGCTTTTATTGGTGCATCTATACATTTGGAACTTTTGGTTCTCAATTGTTTAAAAAGAATGGTTGTAGCCTATATTGGGGATGCAGCTGCTAATACAGATTCTGAAATAATAGAGATCCACTTAGTGAATTTTAAATAAACCAAGACCGTATTTTGCACTGATTTTATTTCCCTACTGTGTCCTCTAATTTGTTATACCGATGAAATTTCATTTGAGGAATCCATAGATCAAACACTGAAACTAAAATTATAATAAGGCCACATCTCCCTAAAAAATTACACAGAAGATTCAATAACTTTAGGTCTGTTTGTAGTTGTTGACAGTTACATATAAATGAGTACAATTTGTTGTCAAGTTAGACAGGCGTCAAAATGGTTCCACTACTAGCATTTTACTACTTTACTTTGAACAAAGGCCACTTTGTGTATAACCAGTCTCAGGTATCAGATGACTATTGAATATTGGTGGAGAGCAAATAAATATTAAATTAAATCTAACCACTTAACACATTTAATTCAAATATTTCTAGAACAAATGCCAGTACATTACGTGTACCGATAGTTTCTGCATGCCAAAATATGTAACAAAGTCATATATAATATATTAATCTTAAATTAATGAGTCAATTTATTTGTAATTATTCTTCATGAACGTTCTTCAATCTTTAAATTATTAATAATAATTGTCTCTAATTGTCACAATTTGTGATATCTTAAAATTCTTTACGCCAAACATGTTTAGTGTTAAAAGGTAGTTTTCTTTGTTGTGACCAGTTGCCACTTTGATATTAAAAGCAGTAATACTTGAATTCTTCCGGACTTCATATTTAATTTGTAAATGGTACCTTTCAGCTTCAAAGTTTCCAGTCAAGCATTAATGCTAAATTATATCTACTGATATTTAAAATTTTTACTCCATGTATTTCAGAAAAAAACCCTGACATTAAATCAAACAATAGCATCTCTCCAGTCTGAACATTTCATTAAAATATTGAAATTAATTAATTAACCGTAGACATTGCAAACAATATGACATTTTATTGAAAATACAAAAAAATGTAGTACTTCAACAAAATACATCTGACAGAAGTCCTAGAATATAGTCGATCACAATTCAGGACCATTTTCTTTGGCAGCTTCAGCTATTGATGCATTATAAATGTGAATTAAAGACGTGAAATTTGTATTCTGTATGCATGTATTGATTGATTCACTGCTGTTGGTAATGAGCTGAATTGAGCACATTAACGTTATGTGTAAAACGTTAAATTTGTTCATATACTCAATTCAAATATGTCTAGAACAAATAATTAATTGCTGGCAAATAAAATTAAAAAGTCTGTTCTCATTGAATTTTTTTTTAGGCGTAATAGTCCTGGCCGAAACATTAAATCTAAACAGTTCAGTTGCTAAGAATGTTTCGCTGTCAGTTGATTTAATTTAGGAGAAAACAACATGTGATAAATATTAGCATTGTTTAGATCACCATCAAATATGTACTCTACATATCCTGAATGCTTACAAGACTCTCACATTTTCATTTACGAGGATACATCCTTCCATTTATGAGAATTTGTTTACAGGTGTCTTTGACTGAAAAATAATGTTTAAAAAAAAATTTCTATACTGTAAAATACTTTATGTTCGCTTGGAATTAATTTTCACTGAGAAAATGATTGATTGAAAATAAAGTCCAGTGAATATACCTTTTTTCTTATATTTTACATTTAACTCGTCTAAAATCAGTGAAAATAACTTTTCAGTGAAAATTAATTCCAGCTAAAATATAGTATTTTACAGTATTTTGACTTTTTAAATTAGTTATTTGAATTCCTAGTAGGCAGATAAAAATAAATATGTAATAATAAACTCAACTTGTGTTTCAAAAAATAAAATGAAAACAAGAAAATTATCAGACTGCTAATTGTAAACAAGAGAAATGATTGACTATTTTAAACTCCTTATGTTTTTTTGTATTCACAGATTTACATTTCAAACTAGTCATGGCAAAAGGTATAACTCCTAAAAAAGGTAAGTTTATGGTGTGACATGTAGTTTTCACACTGTAAAGCATGTAAATTTTCACTGCAATTTGATGATGGCAGTGACATTCATGAGGACAAATTTGCACAAAAGTTGCTATGACAACATGTATTTAAGACCCCAGTGAAAAGTCGTTGTGACTACACGTCTTCAGGATCCCAGTGTAAAGTTGATGTGACTACATGACCTCCCAGGACCCTGCTACAAAGTTTTGCAAGTCTCATCGACTCACGAAAATCCCTCCCGTGCAAAATAATTAGGTTTACTTTTAAGATAGAAACCATTTCTAGAAATTTACTTATTTGTGGATTTAGATAGACATGTACAACACGTGTAAGTTACAATGTTTCAACAAAATTTACACAAGGACTATGATGAAAAAACTTTAAAAAATATCCTACTGTTAATTGATCCCCTACTCTTTCTTGTAGTCATTATTGCTAGAATTCAGTATTTCTTTTATGTTTCCAGTTCTGCAGTCTGATTACCAAAATTATATTCTTATAAATTATTTGACTGTTTTTCTGCTAATAATTTAGACAACCCCAAAATAGTTATTTATTCATGGGCAAATTAGTAGAATTGCTTGGATGCTTAAACATTGTGCATTCTTTTAATATAGTTTTTTTTTTGTTTTTTTTTTTTTAAGAATTAAGTGAGGTGTCACTCCGTTCAAGAGATGCCAGTAGTAGCAGTAGTCGATCACAAGGTGAGTGTTTACAACATGGGTGTCATAAGATTAATAAAGTATATAAAGCAGCTTCCTACAATGAGCATTCTGGGATGAAATCTGAGTGATCCACACTTGGGGACTGTCCACAATTGTAGTCACACGTATTGTCCCACCAGAGAGGTACCTCATGGTAATCTGCAGCTTTTTCAATGCACACTAACATTTGGCATTTTTATATTGCAACAAACCCTGCGACACTGAATGCACAAATATAAAATGACCTTATAATACTATTTTCTCCCCCACTGCCTGCAATGTCACGCCCGTGATTTATCATAACTGTTTTTATGTATAGACGTTATCCATCTAGAGACATTTCACTGCAGCCACCATACAATAGATTATTCAATATCTGTGTCATGAGAACCTCTCCCAAGGGCTGCTACCATTATTGAGTTCCAAAGGACATTGTCCAAGAAACATTTTCAATAGAAACTTTTTTCCCCCTAGTGATCGAATACGACTGTAGACATGGTTTTCTATTGTGTTGTTCTGGGTGGATTATTTTTTTAATGATACATATAATACCACTACTGCTACTAATTCGCACAATCCATCCTTTGAGCTCTATCCCCAATTATTCTGTCCAGTTTTCGTCTCTTTGTAAAAATTTATCATTCGCACTCTTAGTTTAATAGAACCAATGTGTTGATGTTTAAATGGTTAAATTGGACTACTCTTCTTCTTCTGCAATCATTAGTGTGTTTTTTTCTAAAAAGCGACAGGTGGCTAAATTAATAGTATTGTTTGTATACCAGTTGAATGTCAATTTAGCCATTGGAGGACTGAAAATCAGATAATGCCCCCACCCCCCACCCCTGTTGCTGAAAATAACAATCAAGATTGTACTGTATTTTGATTACACTACACTTTTTAATCACCCGTGTAAAATTGAATGCGCCTGTTGTGTGTCAATGTTCTCTGTGAGTGTTGTTGACAATGATGTGAAATCTGTGTGTTATTGGAGAGGAACAAAGCCATGCTCCACAGAACCGCTTAATTACTTGTGAAAAGTGAGTAGTTTAGTTACCAAAGAGCCCCCAGTATTGGATTACATTAACATCGTTGCCATGGTAAATCTATGTTTATTTTGAACACTCCCAGTCAACTTGTGCTTTGTTGTTCCTGTATGCATGAAGTTACCACTGTTTAAAGCTGATGTGAAAACAAATTTAGTTGAAATGGTTTCATGTGATTTTGTTGTTTGAACACTTTTGTATGCATTTTATTAAAGAGAGAATTTTTTTTTCTTGTCCTTTCCTTGCCCATGGTTCTCCTTGTTTTATGTAGATAATTCCCCTTTCTACTTAATAGCATGGTCTATGTCTTCTATGTATGTCTTCTGTTCACTTAGTTTGATTAAGCTTAACCTGAAAACGTAGAAATTGGCAGTTTGTACACATAAAATTCAGAAACAAATTACTACATAATGAATACTTCATTATAAATTTAATCAATAGTTTTAACATAAAAGACATAATTTTCCATTGCCAACAAGTCTTGATTAAACTTTTTGTGTGGAATGTGAATAAAGTTGATTTGGGGCAAGATTAAAATTCTGTATTAAATAAGATATTAAAGTAGAAGGAAAAGTATTCAGGTTAAAAATCAAACAACACCTGTGTCAACAAAGATATTTAAAAAAATAACTACAAATTTTTGTCATTCTGGTCACTGTATATATTGCCTTTTTACAATCTAATCTAAATGCCCCTGTTTGTTGCTTATCAAATGCATGATAGAATTCGCATTTACAGTAATTGCAGATCTTGAAGGCGTCATACTGCTTTGTTATAGTGGGGAAAGTTGACGGTGTTGAAAAAAGGGTTTTGGAGTTGCATGACTTGTTTCTGTCTGTTAACAACTCTGCATGTGACAACCAGTGAATAGGTTTAGAGAGAAAGTTGTCTAGGTTGCTATAATTGAAAACTATGTCAGAATGACTCGTG